GCGTGGTTACTCCCAGTTTTCTGTTTAGATTTCAATAGCCTCTGATATGATCTACTTGTCTCACATAGTCATTATCTGGGAAAAACTACTTCCCATTAGTGGACACAGTCCTAAAGCAAAATAGCACATGACGCACGTGGTATTTGACTCATTGACTTCTAATCTATCCTGGAACACCCAAATACAGAAAGTTGTAAATAAAGCCAACAAAATCGTTGGGTTTCTTTAAAAGGAATGTTGGTCCAGGGAACTAGGAAGTCTTTCTCGTCTGTACAAGGCCGTGGTTATACCCATTCTGGAATATGCTGTCCCTCTCTGGTCACCCTATTTACAGAAAAACATTGACGCTCTTGAACGAGTTCAACGAAATACGCTCTCCCAATATCATCTAAGGACTCTCCGTATAAAGTCCCTCCTTCGACACAAATATAATGTTCTCCGTGCTGCTCCGCATAGTGTCCCAGCTGCACTCTCGTATAAGGTATGCTCGCCAACGGAGAAATCAGCGTGGTGGCATTATGCACCAGAGCTGAAACAACTAAAACTTCAATGTTATACAAGTCTGCTGCCGCTTGTAAAGTTATTTGGTCACCATAGGTACCATCCGTTACCATTGACTACAAGTACTGTGACCAAGGCACTCCTGCATATAGTTCTAAAGGAAAGCCTTCGGTGTCAGTTGGATTGTTTTCCAGGTATTCTACAATCTCCTCACGGACTTTTTCAGGTGATCGGTGTATACCCAGGCGATTTAACCAAAAACACAGCGCTCCAAACTGACAGTTTCCGTCACCTGGCGGGTTATGCATCAGAGTTATACTCATGTGGGGAAACTCTCGCTCCAAAAAACGATCGCAGGCAGTTAAAGGTATCATCAATTTTTTCCTAAGCTCTCGCAATCCCTGCTTTTTCCTGCTTGTGTTCCCTGTCTGGCGTTTCCGAATGCTCGCTATGTTTTAAATAAAATAAAATTCTAATAATAAAATAATAAAATTAAACTCTAATAGTATCAGTAATGTCCCCATCTAGTTGTCTGTAGAATTTAGCGTCATTTAAGGACATATTAACGACGACAGACGTGCAGTCGACAAAACTAACATTGAATCTGAACCCACTACTGTTTCTGAACACTTTCTCTCTCACTCTAACCATTCTCATACTGACATGCAGTTAATCCCACAGAAAATTCATTCTTCACGTGACTCAGTTCGTAAGGCCAGGGAGTCGCATTTGATAGATAACGCCATGACTCTTGAACCTCATGGGCTAAACTGCCGTGACGAATTATTGTAATCCATATCCTTAGTATTTTTCCTTTCCAGTTTTTATGTTGTACATCATTTCCGCCTCTCCCATTTATTGCGACATTCTCCATTTATATAATATTGTGATTGCCACATAAGTTCAGTAACATCTGTAAACCTGAAGAAGGCTGGTATGGCCAGCCGAAATATTGTTATGAAAAACAATACACGTTATTTTAAATCAGCTTTGCAGTCACGGTCTTTGGACTTCTCGTTCTTGCTTATTTATGTGCTATAATTTTTGGAGGTTGAAGCAGGCCGTAATGTTTATTGCTCATTTCTACTTTCAACTCCTTCTTAAATAAACAGTGTCCATGGACCCGGTCCATTACAGGGGGTCCATGATCCGCTCCAAAATGGGGTTCCATGGACCCCGGGTTCAAGTTTTGTCCTTACCCGCCACACAATGATGTGCGCGGAGGTGAGAAAATCTATTGAGTCCAACTTACCTCCATCTCAAGTGTTCTACATCTCTTCGAGAAATAATTTTATCTTAGTAAAAATTAAAAATCCCTCGCTTTCTCCTTTTATGTCCAGCTGTACTTCAATTTCTAGCGCCACAATCATTCCGATCTCCTCCGATCCTGATCCTGATGAAAACAACAACGCCGGGCCCAAATTTTTCACGTAGCGACTCGGCATGTTGAGGACAGCAGCAAACCATGCTGAAGAGCATTTTGACCATCACTCCGAGGATAAAACAGTGAATTTCAAAATAAATATCAATTCAGAAAAACTCCGGGCAAAAGACAAATTTCCTAACATCTCAAGTATCACATCTGAGATGGAGTCACAACAAGGTCGCGCGTGTGTTGCACGTTTTCCGCTCTAACTTTTGATTGGCGCATACAACAAGCTGAAACTTGGTCGTGAGGTATAAGCAGGAGCCGATTACCCTAGTATAAGACAGGGGAATGGGGAAAATAAAGCTAAAAAAGTTGTTTTTGGCTCGTTTCTCACTGTTTTTTCGCCGATTTTTGGATTTTGGCCAATTGGAACGCTTGATTTAATTGAAATTAATGATTAAAAGTTAGCACCTTTTAATTGATTTTGCCGTTCGCCTGCCTAGTTCTTACGCGGAAAATACATCATAGTCTCCCTTTTGTATCATAAAGCAACGCTCCTAGCTTTGCGCGACAAGACAAGAATCTTACAACCTTGAAGACCATGATGTCCTAAACTGAGATACAATAGATTATTTGCTACCTTTTCTACTCCTTGATCTTTCTACTTGAAGCTGCACTTCACTTCCAATATAGAACCTCTAGTATTTAGTTTATTTAGTTATTTTTTTTGTTGTTTTCTTTCGCACCATTGCACGCTATCTGCGTGATGGGGGAAGAGATATAGTGGCATGACTTCATGCGTGACACACCTAGTGACGCTAATAGTATGCATATTAGGTATTATTATCTTTTACGTGTGAGGTTATCCTAAAATAGAGCGAGTAACGGACGGTAGCTGTAGCTTCACGAATGATATTATTTTTGACGAATGAGCCCGCCAAGAAGGCAGAAATAAATATTTTGACGCACGAGATATATCAGGGCCTGGGTACTAGGCCGGGTGCACCATGCCGGTAGCCTTATCGGGGGTATATAAGGTTGCGTATATCACGTGTACGTCATCTAGACTTCTGAACCAACCTCTCCCTTTTTTTTTTAGGAGCAGTCTACTCTCGATAACATTGTAAAGTCCCGTAGGAAGGGCTTTGAGCTTGAGCCTTGGTTCCTACCCAGATTTCCTGAATGCACCTTTTCCCTTCGGGGTTTTTTTTGGGCAGGTTTTTTCTCGCCTCCGTCTGACTGCATTTGTTTCAGTTGTAAGCGGTAGCTCAGTTCTGCTAGTTTTCAGCTTCAAGTTCCCGCTTTTTGTCTTATGTAACAAAAATTGAAGTGGTGCTGTGGGTTGTTGTGATAAATATCAACGTTGGTTTAATTTCTTTCCCCCACCGTCATTCCGCAACATCATAGTTTTATACCATGTTTAACGAACAGGAGTCGATTACGAACTATTGCTGATTCATCATCACTATTTCAATTCTGGCCACTAAAGACGGATAAGTACGTACCATTGCCCATTACATCGTTTATAGTCTAATTCGCTGCCCTGATGATCAACCTAATATCGAACAATTCTCATAAAGTTGTTGTTGTTGTTGTTGTAAAAACTGCTGAAAGGGTATCGCGGTGTCTCACGAAAGTGTGAAGATTAAAATCAGAGAAAAAAGTGTATATGTTTTATTTAATTTATGATAAGTAACAATATCGACTTAATTGCTTTCTTCCACCGTTGAATAAGTATAAACTTTATCCGCACTATCGCTGATTGATCATCAGTCATCATTTCTGTCTATACGCAGGAAGGTGCAAAAGGCCGTACTGACCGGATCGATGATTTTAGCCGTTAGATTATCTGCATTGGCTGCTCTGCGCAACCAAATGTACATTTTAAAGTACTAAGGAAGCGCTATAGAGATGTCGAACGTATATCGCAGCCGTTCTAACGCAGAAATGTGAAGAATGATTAAGACAAACAGTCTAGGTTCTATTTAAGATTAAAAGCAATATTGGGTTAATTGCTTTTCTTTGTTGTTGAATTGAATAGGCATAGCTTTTATCCATATTATTGCTGATTCATCATCATCATTTCTATCTGCGCTAGCCTGTTCACAGACCCTCCATTGCTCATTCTTGTTTCAGTTTTTTTCTCCTTCTTTTACGAAAGCCCCTCCAGAAACTTGAAGTACACGTTTATCAATACTGAGCCACAGAATAATTTGATAATTTTTAAAAATGTCTGGTTCTGAGGCCCTGTTGGGGGAGGGGTTGGGGGGTGGTGGTGGTGGTCTTGCTATCCCTTATGTTTTCCTGTTACCCCATAAATCGTAAAACGGATATTCCTTATCCCTAAAAGTTAGGGACAGCGCACGGGGAGGTGGTAGGGAGGAACTAGCCCCCCTCCCCCCATTTTTGTTTGCCATGGAAATTTTTAATTGCATTCATGGTAGCGAATAAAGAAGATATGGCTGTAGCTAAAAAGGTACAATAATTATTGTGTTTGTTGCGGCAGAGGCGCATTGTACAGGTTTTTAGAGGCGATTTTTTGTGCTTGCAAACAGCAGCAATTTCACAACTTAGACTCTTTAGGCGAGAGCTAACAAAAACAGAGTCAGGACGATAAGTTCATTCATTACACAAACCTACGGAAATCGCTGATTAAAGATTTTTAAAAAATGTAACAAAATTCCCAAAAAGACTTGAGCCTATGTGTGCCGCTAAAACTCTTCTTTGAAATTAAGGCAGCAAAAATCGAACAAAATTCAGTTGCTCAAAGCAGAGCCACTTATCTTTGGTCCACCTAATAGAGATTACTTTTTCTCGATATGAATTGACTTTATTGGTAGGGTATTTGACTAACGGACCTCTCGCGGGAAACTGGTCTCCTCGGTTCTCAAAACAGCAAAACAAAAGGACTTTTATTAGCAACAGTTATTGAGTTCATTTGGTCAAAGTACAAGCCGAAGGAAAATAAATCATTAATTTGTTTTCTTTTGTTTGTTCTTTATCAGTTTTAGGCCCTGTCCACACTAATGAGTTTTCAAAAGATTACTTTTCGTTGTCATCAAAAACGCGTTTTTCAGGCATCAGGAACGCGGCTTTTATTTGGAGGAACAATCGGTGAATCAGAAAATACCTGGGAATTGTGTTGTGTTGCACAGGATACTATAAAAAAAAAGTAGAGATTGCAAGTTAAGCGATCATAATTCCATTTAATCCTCGTTCTTATTAAAATTTAACTTCAGTAACTCAGCTATCTAAAAAGCGCATTACATTCTATATAGGTCAATAACGAAACTAGCTAATGGAACAAAACAACAGTATCATTGAACTTTTAATTTTACTACTAAGCTATTTTAATGTGTATTTAACAAACATATTTGTTTGGAGAATCCTTCTCTTGACTGCACCGCACACTCTTGTTCCTTTAGCGGAGAAAGCCCGCAACGGCACATGACACCATTAGGATAATGCTGACTATAGGCGTGGAACCACTGTTTGTAGGGTTGGTGGTAGGGCTGTTGGCACCGTTGCAGAGGTCTGTATCGCAGCACTTAAATTCACACGTAGTACCTTGAGCCGACTTGCAAGCGTTTAAGACGGCGGTTTCAGCGGTGTCGCACACTTGTTTGGTACTGCAAATTTTTGTGAATGATGTTGTTGATTGTGAACCAACTGTAAATTTGAGGCCCGTCGTGGCGCAGCGATCGCTGACTGCTCCGCAATCAATCTCCTGTTGATTCTTGGTACAATCTTCCTCACTTACAGAACTGGTACACGTGTAGCACTTGAGTCCAGCAGCTGTCAAGGTAAATATGCATATTTAGAAAGATTTTCTTACAGATTCTTCGCACATGCTTTCCAAAATCAGTAGAAATTGTACACCGTTTATATTGGCCCTTAAACCAGTTAGAAGCAGTAAGCTGTTACCAAAATAATTTGACGCAATGCTGTGGGAGGTGGGGGTAACGTTTTGGAATTTAAGAAAATCTAGCTCAAATACTGTTGTTTACGCCCTTTCTTTTTAACCAAAGACCAAATTAAATGGTGGAAAAAAATCACTAACAAGGCTGGATCACTAGTCAAGATAGACTTTCAGCTTTATTAGCATTTTAGGTCGGAAACTAGCAAGGTGGGTCCTTCCCCCCGGAGTGGGGGAGGGGGGCGGCTCGGGAATTTTTGATGGGTGTATGCCACCCGGTTCCCCAATTCCTGACCCTATTTCGGACCAAAAAAAGCCACTTCTCACACCCGTTTTCAGACCTGGCCTCTTAAATTGATACCCGTTTACGGACCTAGCATAGGCAGAAACAATGTCTTCGTTACTTCAGTTATATTTCTAGATCTGAGAACGCTAACAGAAAGATTTCTTAAAATCTATTTCGAATTCGCATATTACTCGCATAATGCGGTCATACATTCCTGTTAGTAGTTCCCTTGAAAACCATACCTGATTTCAGGCCAAAAAGGGTTTTAAGTTTATATCTGTTTTCAGACCGAACAGCGCAAAAACATACGTTTTTGGGCGGCACATACGTATGTAGCTTATATAAGGGAGTACCCCCCGGGTCCAGGTTCCTGCAGCAACATTCGCAATCAGTGATCGAAGAGTGTGTTTATTAAGAAGTAGATGTTTATTCTGTTGTGATTAAAGAAGCAATGGATTCGAACTAAATCTTGCCATCAAAAAATGAATAGGCCCGAACTCGAAAGAAACTAGTGCGATTCATGCAGTTGATCACTAGATAAATGACCTTCCATTGGTTTACCAATAAACAGCTGCTTTCTACCAATGAAAAAAGCCTTAATAAGCAACAGCGTAAAAAAATGCTTACCGACAGAAATACAAAGCACACAGGCCAAGATAACCAGAAGTTTCATGTTTGAAAAACTGCTCCTACACCGTATCTTGTTTGCTTCTCACAACTGCTCAGCACACCCTACAAGATTGACGGCAAACAAAACCATGCTATCCGTTTTTTATAAGCCTCTGCTACTGCCACATTCGACAGCTTCTGTCAATCAATGTCAGACACACGTTTATGTCATTTTCATTTACATATCAAGGAAGAGGCGGTATGATCATACGATTAGCTAGTCATTAATAACCAGGGCAGCAACCTAAGTCTATTATCATTTATCCATGCGGTAAATGTGAATTTGTGACCTCTAGTTTATAATCACTGAATCATTATTTCTGATTAATGATCACTGATCATTGAATATACGAGTTGCCAGATCCATCGACGGTACTGGAAGTTACAAGTAATACCGAACAAGCAGGGGGCTCAAGGGAGGATCCAGGATTTTTTATAGGAGGGGGAGCACTCGTCTCTTGCTCTACTTCAACACCAATAAACCACATAGTTTTTTTTTTTTTTTTGCAGAATACCAGTTGTGTTAGAAAACCGCAGGTCATCTCAGGGGGGGTGCGCACCCCCTGCACCCTCCCCCTAGAACCGCCCCTGGGGCTTGATCAATAAAATGAGAACTATTAAAATTAATAAGCCGCTGCTACTGCCACATTCGACAGCTTCTGTCAATCAATATCAGACACACGTTTATGTCATGTTCATTTACATATCAAGGAAGAGGCTATATGATCATACGATTAGCCAGTCATAAATAACCAGGGCAGCAACCTAAGTCTATTATCATTTATCCATGCGGTAAATGTGAATTTATGACCTCTAGTTTATGATCACTGAATCATTATTTCTGATTAATGATCACTGATCATTGAATATACAAGCTGCCAGATCCATCGACGGTAATGAAAGTTACAAGTAATACCGAACAAGCAGGGGGCTTGATCAATAAAATAAGAACTATTGAAATCCCTATCTCATCCGCTCGTGGAATCAGCGATAATTATAATAATGTTAATAATAATAATAATCGAAAATATTATTAATAAATAGTTTTATTTGCACCCTGCCATTATTTCCGCCACTTAGAGTACAGGGCTGGTCTTAGTTACTTTAGAATGACTCAGCTAATAATTATTATTGAAGCCTTTCCAAGGAAATTATTCTGATTTCTGCACGGTCATCTGGGTCTTGATTTTTCAGTGGTAAAAGGGGCCCAGCATTTACATCTGATTACATTGCACCCGCTATAACAAAGTATAAAAGTTAATACTTCATGTAGGAAAAGTCGACAACAAACTTTCCGCACTTTAAGAATAAATTAGACAAGTGATTCATGCAGGAAGGTAAAATGTGTAATGTTATTGAGAGGCGAAACAGGCTATAACACAACAGCTTTAATCGAGCTAGTACAAGTACAAGGAGCACATGGTAAAAACAGCCCGCCCGCTAAGACTAATGGGACATCTAAAGCGATTACATCACAAAATGCTGCAAGGATGCTTTAGTGAGCTGTTTAGTGAACAAGCCGTCATGCTTCACGATCACAAAATCACTTGTAGATAACAATGGTAGTCTTTACACTAGACTGAGCCTAAATAAGCTAAGAAATATTTCAAGACAAGTTAATTTTAATTACTTGGAGTAAAATAAAGCTTCACACCCAACCGATTCTTTTTTACTACAGGTATTTTCCCAAACAACATAATTTAGATTGATAGACATGTTTCGCCTTTCTCAAAGCTGAAGTAACCGCAAGTCAGCTAAGTCGTTAAGGATGCCTGGTTTTCAAGTCGCTTGAAACTTTCTTGAATCGTTTCAACTTTCCGACTTTAATGAGATTGCAAAGTAAAGTTACTTGAGATTTACTTTGGCCTTCACACACGAATTTTTGGTTAAGTAAAACTTAGCAGCTCTTAAGTTTTATAAAGACAACCATTAAGGAAACTTGAACGCTCCATATAAGGTCAGTTTACATGGACGAGTCTTTTTTATATAGTTTGATTTTTGTTTCATTGCATGTGCTACGATATTAGGTGCGCCTTTAAATTGTTTGTGTCAGCTAGCGGCTGATTTTATTTGCGATGAATCGCTTTAAAATCACGATTGCTGCAAATCAGAGACGTTTATGCGATTGATCGACCAATTTCTGCTCAAGGATGGTTAAAAAATACCTGTTTTTGAGCCTCTTAGCGGATATTAGTGATTCCTTCGAGCGATGGTGGATTTTCTCAGGAGGTTTAATCAACTGCAATATAATCCTGTAAAATGAAGACTCCCTTAAAAAGTACTTTTAAGTTTTATTACCTCGCCGTTGAAACGGAATCTTCAAGTTTTGCTGAGCTGCAAGTACGTGCTAAAATCTTCCCAAAAAGAACAAATGTTGAAGGCATCTAGAACTGAGAAACTGAATAAACTGAGCTGCAAGTACGTGCTAAAATGTTCCCAAAAAGAACAAATGTTGAAGGCATCTACAACTGAGATACTGAATAAAGTAACTGGCGTGAATATTGTTTTTGGATATGCTAAACAAATTAAAGAAGTTATTGGAAACGGCCTCTCTTGTATTTCAACCAAGACAGAATAAGTTGAAAAATTTGACCACAGAGGCAAAAAGGATTCATTTGTCAATTAGAACTCAGCTTAAGTCTAGACCTTAGAAATGCAGTATCACTAGAATCCTTTAAGAATAATTATCGAAATATCTTATTTAAAGAGCAGCAGGAATTACACCATTTCATCGTTTAATCATATTCTTGTATGTATTTCACGGCATTAGCTCTTATACTCTTTCATTTTGATGTAGAACTTTTATATTTCCTTAGTTTTATTTATTTTGTACGTAGACTTTGTATATTCTGAATCTTATGCTTTTTGTAATTTTAATTTAGATAGAGGGCCACAAGTTTACTAGTTTCTGTAACTATTCCGTGCTACCCTCTTTAAATAAAGTGTATTATTATTATTATTACTCGTAGATCGTAGTTTACAACCCTAGAAAGTGAATAGCAGTAAGCTACACCAACACCAGGCTCCGTTGAAGTTGTTTTCTTTTTCTGTTAGTAAAGAAACGCTTCTGATTTAAAAGGGTGAAAACAGGCCATTTCTCAGCAGGAGCGTCATGTCAGTTCAAAACCTTCCATGATCTTTAGCCACCATCCCTTACGGTAACGTTCTTAGGGGTTCGCCACGCGTTACTAAACCCTAAGAACATCTATCTGCGTGGGAGGGACTAAGCGTCTTGCGTGAAAAATATTGGTGAAAAATATATTTTGGGTTCAAGGGGTGTGAGATAAGTGTCAAATACGCTGACGCACGAACTGGCTTCGGACGGAAGTATTATTTATATTGGTATCTTGAACGCTTGAGGAACAAAACTAGATAAGTATCCTTTCCCGATTCGTAGCCAGAACCAGTAAAAGACATGTTTAAAATTTATCAAATTATTCTGTGGCTATAGTATTGGTAAACGTGTACTTCAAGTTTCTGGGAGAGCTTTAAGAGGAGAAAACTGAATTATGAAATAAATGAATTCATTTAAAATAAAGTGAGACAGAAATAATCAAAATATTAAGACGTCTGTAGATGGGTGAGGTAAAGCTGCAGAGAGTCATACTTCCGCATCTTCGCCCTCTCACTAAAACACGTACTAATATCAAGGCGTTACGGTTTTTGTCTCTTTTTTTTTCATATTTGTATGAGAATTTTATCCATATGCTACATATTTGTTGAGTTTTCATTATTTCATGTATTACTGACGTTCACTACCAAAAAATTATTTTAAGCAAAGTTCTCGTAATACATTGAAGCTAAAAAAGTCATCGATAAAATGAACGACGTTTCGGTGTCACTTTTTAAATAATGGCCCCCCAATGTTTATTAATATCTGACATTATATGGTTTGAATGGATGCACACAATACGAAAGGTACGCCCCATAAATGCGGCTTGCCTTTACATTGACTGCTTGTTACATGATTGATGCATGTTATATATGTTCGTATCTGAGCGGTACATCGAAAGGAATTAGAGTAGATCCCGTATTTCCTTTTTGCTCCTTCCAGCCAAGATCTCATGTGTATATATTAGGCTAGGCTCAAACACAAATTTAGTGGGTTTTAATCACAAGCACTTTCATCTCTCACATCTTCGTGAACCTTGGCAAGCAGTTTCTAATTTCTATCTATTTGATTAACTTTTTTAGTTCTTTGTCAGTCTAAATCACATGACTCACATTCGCCTTGTAATGGTCAAACTTTTTATCTCCAAAACTGAGGAATACTTGGTCAAATTGTGTTCGCCTTATTTATTTTTTTCGTTTGGCTTTTCTATGGCTTGACTAAAACTTGGCTTGGCTTGGCTATGGCTATATATGGCTAAAAAGGCGGAGCCACGTTGAGATCATTTTGACATCGACAGTTGAAGGCACGAGTTTCTGACGTCATCATGAGCGAAAAATTATTTCTTCTAAGTTTCGCGACTGAAACAAACTAGTTATTTTGCAAGCGGCAAGCCGTGCTGTTTTAAAAGATCTGCTGGGGTTTCTCTATATTAAAACTGAATGCATGATCCTAAGAAATGATAATGCAGAGGAGTGAACAATAGTACGGATAAAAGCTATCTCCATTTAGCCAGAGAAAGTATACGAAAGGGGTACCTTTTGTGTCAAAAATGGTATATAAAAGGGTAAGGGGTTTAACCTCGGAGCGGAGCCTCCCTGAAGCAAACTTTTTCGAGGACCCTTTTGGGGTCAGACACCGCTGAAATACTTTTCAACATTCCCTACCGCCATTGCTTTGTACTTGATAAGAATCATTCTATACTCACCTGAGCAAGGCAGTGAGTTCAGAGAATCAACAAACCTTTGAAATCAGCGCTTTCTGGCGCAGATAGAAATGATGATGATGAATCAGCAATAGTGCGAATAAAGGCTACGCTTATTCAAGTTAAGTCAATATTGCTTTTTATGATTAATAGAACATATTAGACTGTTTGTCTTAATCATTCTTCACAT